TCTCCACCTTGTTCTCCCAGTACCATCTCACCTGCACAGGAGTGCAAACATTGTATTTCCACCCTCCACAGACATTTTAGCAATTTTAGGTTAACAGTTATCCCTATAATATACAGTATGTATGTTATATTACATAAGGTATAGACAATGGGTCCATTTGGATATACTGTATTGTTAAGTGTGATGGATAAGCTGCTACTATTCTTTTAAATAAAACACTACTAAATCAATGTGCATCACATACATATGTAATAATGTCCAATTGTGTCCGCGAGGTTTAAGAATGTCGCGCTGCAGTGTAAGTGCAAAAGAGACAGAGCCAAGGTTTGAACTGGGAACCCAACAACTTTGAACTCTTTGGAACATCTGCTTGAAAACATGGCCTCCTACTGAACCTCTTGGCTTGCTATGCCTTGTCAGCAGTGCACGTGATGACACTAAGGGCAGATTAAATTAAATTAACCGTCGTTTCATGTGGTTTCCCTGGTTTCAGTGAAGTTGTTGCACATGCATGACTTGACTTGAACAGAGCCCAGTGGCCAGTGCACAGGTTGTGGTCAATGTGTGGCTCCCCAGAGGATGTGGTCTATAGAGATGTTTTCTGATGAGCGCAGGTTCTTTTCCGACTAGAAACAATACATTTTCCTGCCCCTTGTAGTTTATTTGTAGTTGGCAGTTATAATTTTTTTTGTACCCCCAAGTTTTGAAAATGCCATTTAATAATTAATAATAACTACTAATTCCTTAGTAATTAGTAATTATTTATTAGTCATTATTACTAATTCCTTACACTTACATTGCACTTTTCTGGACACTCCACTCAAAGCGCTTTACAGGTAATGGGGATCCCCTCCACCACCACCAGTGTGCAGCCCCTCCTGGATGATGTGACGACAGCCATAGTGCTCCAGTCTGGAGGAGAACAGAGTGATGAAGCCAGTTCAGAGATGGGGCTTATTAGGAGGCCATGACTGGTAAGGGCCAATGGGAAATTTGGCCAGGATGCCAGGGTAACACCCCTATTCTTTTCGAGAATCTGAAGGATGGTGCCTTTTTACAGTATAGTGTCCCCGTCACTATACTGGGGCATTAGGACTGGCACAGGCCACAGGGTGAGCGCCCCCTGCTGGCCCCACTAACACCTCTTCCAGCAGCAACCTTAGTTTTTCCCAGGAGGTCTCTCATCCAGGTACTGACTAGGCTCATACCTGCTGAGCTTCAGTGGGCTGCCAGTTGTGCGTTGCATGGCGATATGGCTGCTGTCTATAAAAAGGCATTTGGTAACCTGGTAAACTCTCCACTCAGAACTCAAGTTCTCTCTCAATGAGAGAGGAGGCCATTTGTTCCATCATGCTTTTCAGCATTTGCTTTTATTTTACAACCATAAAACCAGTATTTACCACACTGGGATTAACCAAAAATCCCCTCATTAAAGTTTGTCTTTCATTTCAGTATAATTATTACCAAGGAACAAGAAAACCCTGAGCACTGCTGAACTATCCCAGCCTTAGTCCACTTGTGCACCACTGTTTGGGCAACTCTGGTCATCAGAGCCTCCAATGTGAGCCATCGACCCGATGCCTCCATGACATCAGGGCTTTTCTAACTGCTCCGCCTGGGAGTCACCCTGCCATATCCCTCACTGACATCTTCCCTTCTCGGATTCATGTTGGACAGACCGCTGTTCCAACAGGCTCTCTCGTGATGTCATCCTCTTGTGGTGCTTTGGCGAAGTCTGTGTTTTGGCGAAGTCTGTTACTATGAGAACATCCCAGGGCGTAAAGACAGCCCTAACAGAGGAACCATCTGAGAGCGTGTTCCTCTCTCTGGCTGCTGCATTCCAAAGCTGTGATCCCCCAGAAACCAGGCAGCCGCTGCCTGGCTGTGTGAAGCTGCTGGGCTTGTGTGGTCTTGAACAATGATAGCTTTTGACCCAATGTGCGCTTTTTCTTTTGGGCACACAAAGAAAAGGCAGATCTGGTTTCCTCAGCCCCAAAAGTAAAGCGTTTGAAGGAGCCTAGGGCACTACCCTGCCCCCTGCTCATGCACGAAGTCAACGCCCTGTTCTCACAAAAGATTTTCATGGGTTAAACTGGAAGCCCTTCGGAAAACAAGGTTTCTGAAAAGCCAGCAGAAAAATCAATACAAAATTGACCGTTAAACAGTGGATGAACTAAATATTTTTGCCATCTGTGTCTATGGGGTACTATATCACTATTGCAGTGTTAAAAACAATTCTTCACCCTCATAGTATGCCATGTTTCCCCATCTCTTTATTTTCATAGTATTATACTTTAAGCAAGGCACAAAGTCATTGAATGAAGCAGCTGGGCACAAGAGTGACCACACATGCTGCAGCACTGACATGACGCAGCTTTCAAAAACAGGAGGAAAGAGGAGCTGACATCCCTGGCCACTGGGCTTTGTTTCAGAAAATGATCTTTTTAATGTGGATTTCATGAATGCATTCTTTCTGTTTAGCACAGAAAAAGCTTCAGAAATGCAGCAAGAATAGAAAGTTTGGATGGCCTTTTCTTGTGCGTTTGTAACATGACTTGCCAGCAAAGACAACTGAGAAGTGGCAGGTAAAAAGGTGTGTGGAGGGGGGAACCAGGCAGGTAGCATTAGAAAAACCTGGGTGTGGGTTTGGCATGGTTGGGAATGGGGGCTGCCCCCACATTGCTAAAATACCACATTTAATGACTAAGTTGCTGGACAGCTCGATTGTAAAATAACACTTTTTTTATTGCACAAAACTAGCCTCGAGTGCATTCCAAAGCAGAACTAGAATTCTTCTGTGTAAAAAAAAAAAGGGCGTTCCTCTTCCTTCTTTTATTGTAGAACAGGCTACTCTCTTTTGCTCTTCTCTCCTGCTTCTTGTGTGTTTTCGCCAGGCAGTGATTCATTCATCGCTTTGATTCGGCTTTATTTCTTTCTCCGCACCGGCAGTCAGGGAGCTACACCTCCCTACAGAGTACATACCCTTAACTCCCGTTAAGTGCTGGAGCCAAGCCCCACAGGCTGCTGCACAAACCCAAAAAATGAAATGACAGAGCAAGTCAGAACTGGTCTCCTGAGCTGCACTGCACAAAAACTTTCCCACTGCAGACCCGCAGATGAATCCCTAGGGCACACCGGGGTGCCCAGAGAGAATCAGATCTCCTTGGACAGCAAGGAGGAAGAAGTGACTTGATTGCTGCAACTGCTTTAGAATTTTCTTTTACCCTTTTTGGATTTTTACGTTTCTAGCAGACGGACATGTAAATTGTAAAGCATTCCTCTGTCTTCAATTCCTCTGTCTTCAGGGATTTTCAGGTGCTTTCCTGAATCACTCTCTTTTAAGGCTTTCTTGTGCCAGTAATAGTACATGATACTATTAATTGTACACGGTCGTAGCAGTTTTTTGTTGTTGTTGTCACTTCTGCTTGTTTTGTAAAAGAGGGAGCTTTTAATAAGCATTCGCGCAAATAAAAGAGCTACAGTTTTCAGAAAAGGACTGTGTGGTCTTAGTGGGGGAGGGGTGAAATGGGGGCTCAAACACAGGAGGGACAAGCAATCCTCTTTAAAGTTAATTGATTTCGGTATGAGTTTAACTAAGTGGAGGAGATTTCTCGGAATATCTCTCTTCCCGCAGTCCCATAGCAATTGCTACAGTGGTCTCCTTTAACAAAGCATGGCTGAAACAGGCATGCAAGCATTTCAGGATACATGCTATAACATAGCATAAATGACAATGCCGTGTGCGCACAACACAGTCGCAACAGAGACAAGCAGCTACCTTTTAGGCACATTCAAGGTGGCCACACTGCCGAAACAATTGCTAGCATGGGTTTCTGTAATATTCTTTGTCATTCCCTTGGGCGACTCTGTGGGTGGGGGGGGGGGGGGGACAATTCCACCCGGGCTACGCCCTACAGGAATCGGACGAAGTGGGGAAACCTGATACGGAGAGAAGCTCAGAGCACCGAGCTAGCAAGACTCCCAAGTGCTGGGAATGGCTCAAAAGATCGCAGAGATCTAAACTCTGACAACGGATGACAAATGCATGAGATTCGTAAAAATAAATGTAAAGATTGTACAACTCAAATTTAGCTCATGCTCGGGTTTAATACACAAGTGCATTAGTGCACCTTATCTCCTGGTTTGCGGCCACTGTGTTGTTTTTCCTTCATTGCAACCATAAGGAAGACAACTGCATAAGGAAGAGTCTTTCTGCTGCAACAGAGATTAATAATATATCTGAATATACTGTTGCACTTCTGAAAGATGAATTAGGAGAGCAACAGTTAAGCAGAGATTCCCATTTTGCAGCCTAGATGTATGTGGTGCACGATAGTGTGTAGAGGAGAAGCCCAGTTTTACTTCACTGATTTCCCTGCAACAGGCCACTAGCCCATTCAGAGCAAACCTGCGGAACAGCACTCCGCCTATCTGTCCAGTTAGATCCAGCCAGTCTACAGTGTGGCTGCTGGGAAAGACTGAGCTCACAAGAAACCGAGATAAAAGTACAGCTGAGACCACACCCAAAGATCACCCAAAATCTGGGAGCGCACACGTCTGGCTGTGGAAATATTCTCAGCTTAGAAAACACCATAATGCATAAACTGAAATTCTTAAATGTTCTCCCTCTCTCTTTGTTGGCATCTGCTGATTTTGTTCTGCGAGTGTGAAAAGTGGAGGACGATGAGGATCGAGTCAGAGACTTCTTGTCGGAGAAAAAGCCTGCAAAGGGCCTCCTCCCCCACCTGAAGCTCAAACATACAGCCTGCCGCTCTGGAGCTGGGTGTGTCAGAGCTTATCAGTTTCCACTTGTCCCAGGGCTGGTACCTGTCCGACAGGATGGGTGGGTCCTGCAGACAGGAGCAGGCAGGAGAGAGGGCCTGGCCTGGCCCGACGGAGAGAGTAACACACGGGGGGGGGTGAGGCGGGGCAGGGGGAGAGCCAGAGTCCCTCCTCCCAGGTGCGAAAGGGTTTAAAACCCCAAGCCCGAGCCAGCAGCAGTCAGAGGGATCCATTCTCCTTCTTGTGAAACAGCTCACTCGCTCTCCCCCCCGGGCACATCTCTCTCTTCTGCTCTCTCTCACTCTCCGGCGGCATTCCTTGACCTGAACACGTGACAGACAAAATGAGCGTTCGCACCACGTACATGAGCTCCAGCAGCGGCGGCGGCGGCGGCGGCAGCATGGGAGGATTTGGCAGCGGGGGCGTTAGGAGAAGCTTCACCAGCCAGTCGGCCTATGCCATGCCGGTCACCCGGAAGTCCGTGTCCATGGTCCGCTCAGGAATGGGAGGAGGGGGCTACGGCTCAGGCGCAGGATTTGGCGGCGGCAGTGGCGGCAGCTACAGCTACTCCATTGGCGGTGGGGGCGCCGGTGCCGGAGGTGGTTACGGAGGTGGTCTGGGAGCTGGCTTCGGCAGTGGGGCCGGGTTCGGCGGCGGTGGAGCTGGCTTCGGCAGTGGGTCCGGGTTCGGCGGCGGTGGAGCTGGCTTCGGCGGCGGGGCAGGCTTCGGCGGTGGGGCAGGCTTCGGCGGCGGGGCAGGCTTTGCCCAGCCTCCCATCACAGCAGTGACCATCAACCAGAGCCTCCTGGCGCCCCTCAACCTGGAGATCGACCCCAACATCCAGGTGGTCCGCACCCAGGAGAAGGATCAGATCAAGACCCTCAACAACCGCTTCGCCTCCTTCATCGACAAGGTGAGTGCTGCAGCCGAACCTGGGGGAGGGGGAGGCTGGGGGAGGTGGTGGATTCAGCACGGCACCCAGGTTGGCCCAAATGATTATTGTCGGGGCTAAAGGGAGGATGCTTAACGGTCGTCATATGATGCAAAATTAAAGAAGGAAGAAAAAGACTGATTTGCGTTAAACTCAAGAAGGGGAAACGTTGGGAGAACAAGATAGATCAAGCAAGGTCTAGTCTTGCAGAGAAAGGGAGGTAGGGAGAGATGGGTCTGCAGTGTTAAAAGCTACAGCAGAAAGAGACTCTATGTTCCAAGCCTTATGAAGGTTTAGGAGCATTTGCAAAGCTAACAGGAATGTAAAGGAAAATCCATGTAGTTGGTGCTAATGGCTTTGTGATCACTTATTGGTTGTTAGCGTTGCAGATCATTTTTGTAGCCTGTGAATGCAAAAGCAGGACAGAGGAAAGGACAAAAGCTGGAATGGCAGTCCAGCATATTCCACAGTTCCCAGCCAAAAGGCAGGAACCATCTTACGATGAGGAAAAAAGGAAAGGAATGAAAGAGCTGCAGGTGGATGCCACACCCTCTACAAAGAAATCGGCACAGCCTCCTCTCTTGCATATTTTTTATTGCATTAAAATAAACTGAGCTTTGCCCTCATTGATTAGATGAACGGATTCTGCTAACTTTATATGTGTTAGTTAAAAAAGCCCAACTCACCCTAGATTAGCTCATCGACTCTAGTGTGCTCTATAACAATTTACTGGGCTGTCCCCTGCCTAAGATGGGGTTGAAACCAGCCTGTGCTATCACCCGCCGCACAGCTAAACAAGGGTGACATTCCACTTTCATTAATTGTGAGCCAACATTGCATCTGATCTGCCCCCAAGGGGCGGTTCCCAGTGATCAAAAAAGGTTCCATCTACATCCAAGCTGTGCGTGCTGTGCTCTGTAGGGAGAGCAGCCTGCAGCAGCCAGCATTTCCCAGCCTTGGTCTGTGCACAGCTAACAGGGGGGCGTGACCGCCACGCCAGTCTGCTCTCCTCACCGAGCTCCCGGGCACTCCAGCGACGCCCATGTTTAATGAAGCGACTCACCTGACTCTTGCAGCTCCGGGCAAAACTAAATCTACAGCCGCACCCTGCTCAGAAACCCGCACAGTCAGCTCTCTGAATAGCGAGCCACACCCGCTTTCTGCTAGTGTAAAAGCAATGAATGAATCTTTTCGGTTTAACCTTTAATTTTTCTGCCCCATCGAATCAGTCCACTTCAGCCAAAGTGGAAGATCTGCCCACTTCAGAGCTTAAAATACTTATCTCTTCCTGTTAATGTTAGCAAACAGGACTTTGCTGAGGTGGACTGAAGAAGGAGGAGGCACATTCCGCAGTGCAGAGCTAATAACAATACCTCTGCGGAACTGAAATGGATTTTGGTCTCCATGCAAACAGCGAATTCACTTCTCTCCAAAAGTCATCGCTGACTGGAATCTGGCCAGAATCCATTATGGTTTCCGTAGTACTTACAACAGATGTTACGGATTTTTGTGCATAAAAGTGTTAATTACTGGGTTCAGTTTTCAGTACCTGAGTGGGCGATCTTTAAAATAAAACATGGCTCTGAGTTCAAAGCAGATTCCGACTGCTCTGTGTAGCTTAACCCAGCAAATCTAAATAGCAAACATTTGCTTTTTTCCTGTTTGTGTGTTTTGCTTTATTACAAATGCAAGACGCCATTAGGGCCCCTGCAGAAACAAGAGGTTTGCCTTCTCCCTGCCCCTCCCAGTAAAATAATTAAAAAAAAAACTTGTCAGGAAGTGCATTTGAATGTGCAGTAAAACTGCATGTTCCTTCTGCCTTTGAACTCATAAAGCCCAGTTTGGACCCAGGACGCCGTTGCAGGACATTAAAATGATTGCCTCAATAAAATTAAAAACCACAGGGCAGTGGATAAGGTCTCACACTTATATTTCATTAAACGCCTCTTCAGCCTTGATAAATGCCATTATTGTTTACGGTCTTATCTTCTGGCGTGAGATAAATGCTGTGCTAACGTGGTTTTGAAAGCCACATTTGCCAGTCCACTCAGCCCATTCATCAGTTTCATCAATAGACTGTAGCAGAATGGTGATATTGCCTACTAGCAGCAGAGGAGGCAGCTCTTACCCTCAGTGTTAGGGGGGGGGGAGGCTGGCCACTATTAAAACTTGCTATCTGACTCCGTTAGGGGGTTTCACACCCAGGCAAGCCAGGACTACTCTAACTGCATAGCACAGTTAGCTCTGTTTGTGGGGCGTTGCCTCGGGCTTACCCACCCTTCTTGTATGAAAAGAATTTGAGAAAAATGTACCGTAGAGGTTGTAACACGCCCTAAGTCATTCTTGTTTTACTATAAGTCTCCAGCAGGGATCCACTTCTCTTTTTTCGCCGATTTCCAAAATGCGCTGGGTTACACCCTCGCCCCTTCCATGCCTTGACAAAAGCCAACCAGAACGAAGGATAGGGTGGAGGGTGAGGTGGGAGGGGCTTTTGAGGCAACATCCCTCACAGAGGGTGGGGTTTTTAACATCACCATACGTGGGAGCTTTCCAGCTGAAAGATACAAGTATTAAAATTATTATAGAAACCCAGAACCCGGAAGTTATAAAGAAAGACAATTCTGGGTGGCATATTAAGATTAAAAAAGCATTATTCTCCTGCAGAACTGCAAAGGTCTTACTCAATGGAAAAGCACTTGCCTACTGTGACAATAAACCAGTGTAAAGTACACAGAAATCTACATCAAATGAAAAAGTGCAAGGGCGAAATTTTCATTTCTACAATGGTGAGTTTCAGAAACCTAGCGAAAACCTCTCACTCACATCCCTCCCCATCCCTTTCCCCAGGTGCGCTTCCTGGAGCAGCAGAACAAGATGCTGGAGACCAAGTGGAGCCTCCTGCAGGACCAGACCACCACCCGCTCCAACATCGACGCCATGTTCGAGGCCTACATCGCCAACCTGCGCCGCCAGCTGGACAACCTGGGCAATGAGAAGATGAAGCTGGAGGGCGAACTGAAGAACATGCAGGGTCTTGTGGAGGACTTCAAGAACAAGTGAGTGACCGAGGCATCATCAGGGTTAGGTTCCTTCGTGCTCAGCGATGGGGAGCAGCTACATCCCGATAGTGCATCGTCCTAGGACAACCAGCTTCCAAGCCAGCTGTTTTTCCATGTAAAGCAAAGGTAGATAGGTCCCTTGTCACAAAGCTGCAGATCCACCAATGTTAAAGACAGATCAGGAAGCCGGCTAGTGAGACTATTTAAACTGTGAATCCTCCGACACCACTAAGACACAGTCTATTCTAAAGCACTTTTCCTTTCCTACCTCGGCAGATATGAAGATGAAATCAACAAGCGTGCTGCAGTGGAGAATGAATTTGTCCTGCTGAAGAAGGTAAAAGAACTCTACTGAACACATTTGTTTGTGTTTAAGGTGTCAATTATATGACCATGAGATTTAGCTGGTGAATTAGGAACAATGTGTAGTGCATTAGACCTTACCTAGAAAGCACCCATTACCTTGATGTAACAGATCCACAGAATGTATTGATTGCAGCAGCATTAGGTGAAGATTCATCCCATTCTTCAGGCCTAATAAAGAAATAAAAAATTACATCAACAATCCAAAGGCAGGATTTGTGTGAAAATGGCCAATTATTGATAGCACCATCCATGCTTTGATAGACATATGGCTGCATCTTCTGCATCTACCAGTTTGTCACCAACACAAGGCAATAGAACTTTTTTGGTGCTGTTCTCTGATGATGGACCAGTGAGGCTGCATCACATGCACAGCAGAAACCACTAACCCCTCCCTCCTTTCCTATTTTCAGGATGTTGATGGTGCCTACATGAACAAGGTTGAGCTGGAGGCCAAGGTTGATGCTCTGCAGGATGAGATCAACTTCCTCAGGGCCATCTATGAGGAGGTGAGCCCTTGACACAGCCGCCTGGGCAGCAACAGCCTTGAAAGCTCACCGCAACCCTCCATAAATAAGGGTGTCCAAGCAACAGAATGGATTAAATTGTCCCTTTTCATTTTTGCAGGAGCTGCGCGAGCTGCAGTCCCAGATCAAGGACACCTCCGTGGTGGTGGAGATGGACAACAGCCGCAACCTGGACATGGACTCCATCGTGGCTGAAGTGCGCGCCCAGTATGAGGACATCGCCAACCGCAGCCGCGCCGAGGCTGAGAGCTGGTACAAGCAGAAGGTGGGAGTTGCATACAAATTCTTGAATGCAGACAGTAATGAAAGAAACCAAGTAGCTTTAGTGGAGATTACTGCACATGCCTTCTGTCAGATTCTCAAAAGTCCAGGTTTCCTGTTATCCCTTGCGGTCAATCCCATAATTCTTTTCTTTCTGAGATAATACCTGCTGCACACTTCAATTCAATTTATTTTTATATAGTGCCTTTCACAACAAGGTTGCCCCAAGGCGCTTAACAATATTCACAATATATTTCTTTCTTCACAAAACAATATTTTCAAGCTAATGCCATTTAAATACCCACTAAAGATTTTGCTTTCCCTCGTCCCATTCCTCAAAAGCTTCTGCATGCACTAGCACCTGGCCAGTGTGACTAGCCAGCTGGCTGAATCGGTAAAACACTACTTTCTTTTGTAACCGTGGCCAAAAGATTCAATGCATCTAACACATTTTTTGCATGTTTCCCGCCTGCTGTGCATGCAGTACGAAGAGATGCAGTCTTCTGCTGGGAAGTTCGGAGATGACCTGCGCAACACCAAGTCCGAGATCGCCGAGCTGAACCGCATGATCAGCAGGCTGCAGAACGAGATCGAGGCCGTCAAGGGACAGGTAAGTCCCAGGAGCTTCCCAGTCCTTGCCGGAGAGCACTCCTGGAATCAGGACGCCTACATAAGTCATGCAAACCTGTGTGTAAGAAGGGCTTGACTCACCTGCTTCCATCTTCACACATGCCAGCGTGCCAACCTGGAGGCCCAGATTGCAGAGGCCGAGGAGCGCGGGGAGCTGGCGGTGAAGGACGCCAAGGCCAAGATCAAGGAACTGGAAGAAGCCCTGCAGAGAGCCAAGCAGGAGATGGCCCGCCAGGTCCGCGAGTACCAGGAGCTGATGAACGTCAAGCTGGCCCTGGACATCGAGATCGCCACCTACAGGAAACTGCTGGAAGGAGAGGAGAGCAGGTGAGTGAGTCAGATGCAGGATGAGTGGCCGTGGGGGGGGCATAGACAAGTAATCTTGGACTCCACTGCGCAGCTTCGGTTTCTGCCAAGTAGACCCCAATAGCTAAAACAGTGAAACAAAATTACTCGGAGGCTTATAATTGCATACAGGTCTGGGCTGACCAACCCTACTGAGGTTCATAATTTTAAATGTGGGATTTCTTTTTTCATCATCAGGCTGACTTCTGGTGGTGGATCTGCAACAATCCACGTGCAGCAGGTTTCCTCTGGACCCATGTGTAAGTACCAAGCACTTAGTCAATGCCAGTACTCTTCATTCCAATCCCTCTGCAAAACAACCACCTGCCTGTAGTGCTCCTGCGTTCTAGATATCCTGCGTTTTAAGGGGCATTTAACTTTACTACAGTAAGAATTTGGCCAGAAAGTGAGTCTATTTCACCAAGCAGGAGGGAATCTAGATTCACAGGAGAGTGCTGTTCCAGAAGAATGAGGTGCTAGCTTGTTAACTGACATTGATAAAGTGTAGTGAACTCTAATTCTCATAAATAAAGTGTCTGTCACGAAATGGGCACTCTAATGTCTTCGGAGAACTGGTAAGTTTCTACGTTAACATCACTGTGTCTCTCCCTCTCTCTACAGCCTTCTCAAGCATGGAGAGCTCCGGAGGATATGGAGGTGGATATGGAGGCGGAATGGGAGGCGGAATGGGAGGTGGAATGGGAGGCGGAATGGGAGGCGGAATGGGAGGTGGATACGGAAGCGGATACGGAGGCGGATCAGGATTTTCCATGTCCAGCAGCGGTGGTGGTGGCGGCGGCTATGGATTTGGCAGTGGCAGCATGAGTGGAAGCTCCAGCATCAAAAGAACCTCCATGGTCCAATCCCAGTCCCGACGCTACTAAAGCCCAGAGCAGATCTCCCGTCTCGCCACTTATTACAGGCCCTATGGCTCGTGACACAGCACCTGTCCAAACTCAGATCCCAGGACGTGGCCTTGAGCACCAGCTCTTCTGCCTTACCCATCACTGCCCTGTGGTCCACAAAGTCTAGCAGCCTGTGCTTATGATCCAAAACGCTGGAAGCAGATCAGCCATTCCCCCCTTAAGGGATCCAGCACCGTATCTCTATAGAGAGATCTCTCCCTGAAAAACAGGGTTTCTGCAGTCCCTGCCCCCTCCACCCACAGCCCTGCGTACGTCCCCCGATCAGAGCCTGGCTGGTGCTGCCGTCACGTCCTCCTGTCTTTCAAGCAAACACAACTGCTCAGCAAACATCTAACTCACATTTCTGTTTCCTACAGCTGCATTCCCTTATCCACTTCGCCCCTTAGCTTTAAAAAAAAAAAGAGAGAGAGAGAGAGAAACCGAAACTGGCCGTAGAGATATCTGTAGGCTTGCCCTCCGTCAGCCTGTCTGGTCTGGCTTTTTTTTGTGTGTTAGGCCACAGTGGCAGGCAGGCAACCCCTCAGGGAGGTATGCCAAGCTCAGAAAGGCAGACTTTCAGATATACCAAAGGTATAGGGAAGGTCTTAGACGCTTAGGAAGGTGGCTCTCAACTCCTGGACACCAGCACAGTCAAACAAAATATAAAGCATAGTTTCTGCTAGGCTGCTCTCCTCCTTGCAACACTTGCACCAACTAGACAGAGCTACCACGGACTCCTGTGGTACTATACTTCCCACTGGTGTGCTGCAGGGGAGACTATAGACAAAGTCTGGAAAACAATGGTGTTCGCTCGAGGCTGAGAGACAGGGAGGTGAGACTGGGAGTTCCACTTTACTGGGGCAAGGTCGCCCGCCCCACTCTTCCCTTCTCCACCCACTGAGCTTGCCGTGTTTCTGTGGTAGAAACCAAGAAAAAGCCGACCCCTCTGAGCTCTGACAGCGCCGTCCTCCGCTCCCCCTGGACACTGCTGCACTGAAGTGGCTTCGTGGCACCACCTGGTTGTTGCACCTTGTTCCAGTCATGTGCATGTCTATTCTGGGGGGGGTGGGGAGGGCGCGCATCAGGAACAGTTTTTACACCAAAAAAAAAAACGGCTGATTGTTGTAATCAGATTTATTGTGTGCAATTGACTCTGTAATACCAAACCCGAATAAATCTGAGTTCTTTATCACACACGTCTTTTCTGGAGTTTCATTTTTTTTTTCCAGTCGCGCGCAGCATCTCCTGGCCTCCACAGCCATGTTCGAGAACTGCGATGCGCCCGAGCTCAGATACGAAAGCTCTGCCTGAGCTCTTGCAGACAAAGATGGCATTTGCAGTAGATTTTAAAATCAGGACTCTTCAAACATTCCTTGCGCTCTGCTCTGCAATCAGCTATCACACTAGGGAAGGCTTCTTGGTGAATTTCTCAGAGTCTTAGTGGGAGATTTATTTTGAAAACTTGAAATCTATAATCAATTCAGAAGCCAAAGGCACTTAGCTCTTTATCATGCTGTAAAATCATATAGGGTGACAACAAGCTTAAAGAATCCATTAATCCAGTGCAGTGTAATGGAGGCTGCAGAAAAAAGGGAATTGTGATGGAGCCATGTACTGTACAAACACAGGGACACTCCCATGGAACAAGGGAGAGCTGAAATGTCACTGACTGGTAGACAGGCACACACAGGTACAGAACGAGTCCCTTTGTGCTGGGTCATCTCATCTGATCTCATCTGGGGCAGTAAATAGTTGAGGTCTGGAATCAGAAATTGATGGCAAAACAAATGACAACAGTGGTATTGTCAAACACAAGCCTGGAGCAGTGGGCAATGGCCAAGACTGGCACAATACAGAGGTGTAACGGCCTTCAACCTGGAGCAGAGTCTGCTTTTAATAGCAATGAAGATGGCTGTTTGCCCCTTAGTGGTTCAGTAATGTCACATCATCTCTGCACAGAGAAATATGTCCACTCTTTTGGTCTTTGTAGGATCATAGTGTGAGGCAAACGGAGCTCCCAGCTAGGGGGAAAATGTCAAAAACTAGAAACACAACAAATTGTGCACTGTCAAGATAGCTCCTGGAAAATATGACGGAATCAGGGGCTAATAAACTTTACTGCCTCCAAATAGAAATAAGTTTCATTCATTCATTTAATTCCAACAAATGTGTGACCCCAATTGCAAAATTAAATACCTTGATGATTACAATACAAAGTACTATCAATATTTCATCTACCGTCGAAGATATATTCTTCTTACTAGTGAATTATATCTCCCAACAAGTGTCGATGTGAAGAACTCAACACACAGTCCTGACAACACTCTTGGGTCAGAAAAGAATTCAGCACTGAACCCCACGATTCTGCAGGTCATCGTATAAAGTGAAGCATGATTCAGCAGAACAGCTAGCAAAGGGAAGGTCGAAAGGAAAGCATCATGTCTCCAGAATGAAGGGGTGTGTGAAACAAGCTCTCTAACAGTGAGGGTACTGTATGTTCGTATCGCATGCAAACAGGTCCGCTTTAAATGGAGAAAGTGCTAAATCGGTAGCATTGAATAACACAGAAAACCCAGAGGCAACAGACCTGATGCCAAAAAATGTCACCATGTGCTCTTGAGAAATATGTTCTGATGGGGGGAAAACCAGCTGAGAGGGTCCCTGCAGGAGCTCCTGGCTCATAAGAGAGATAAGATAAGATCACTTTATTGGCCATATACAATTGCTTGCATTAGAAATGTGTTTTTTGCAGACCACAGTTTACTCTCTATGAGACACACAGACAGGGAGAGAAGCTTGGGGTCAGAGTGCAGGGTCAGCCATTTATACAGCACCCCTGGAGTAGCTGGGGTTAAGGCCCTTGCTCAGGGATCCAACAGAGTAGGATTCCTCTGCCGGCCGCGGGATACAAACCGGCAACCTTCCAGCCACAGGCACAAGACCTTAGCCACAGTGCCACCGCTCTGCCCTACTTTCTGCTTTTTACATCATCATCATCATTATCAAATAAAACTAAAGGCATGGTTTATAAGGAAGTTACAGCCAGCTCCTTTGAATTGACCTGCTAAATTCTGTCCTTTAATTATGTATTGGTATAAACATGGGCATCAAAGCTGTCACTGTACTTCTTGGTTTCCTATTTGTCGTGCAAACAATTTAAAACAACAGAAAGATGTCTTGTTTGTAGTGCATCGCCCCTGGCTCACCAGTCCTCTCACTTTTAGAAGAAAAGATTCTGTTTATTTTCTCCCAACACTGCCCATATTTGCTCTACGCAGTGCCTCGCGTGTGAGTAGAAGTACATAAAACCAGCATGAGCGAATAACATAGAACAGTAATATCTTTGCAAATTAATGTATTGAATTGGTAAGATCCAGACCCATAAGGAGAACAGTCAATGCCATCCCTAAACGTGATCCAACTGTCTGACCACCTCTGAAATGATACAGTATGAGATGTGTTAAAGAGCACACGATCTGGGCTTTAACATCAAGTCAGAGGAATCAATGCTCCTTTTTTATGGAAATTATGAATCTCTACCGCCATCTCGTGGCTATTATAACAGCAAAGCCCTGGAAAATCGCGCTCCATGTTACTTGCTCACAGTGTGAAAAATACTTTTTTAAAGCGTCTGAATTATTTCTTATCTCCAGGACAGGAGAAATCGGTAGCAGCTTTGGATTTGAAATTGGCCCAAAATCGTGTACAAAAAGCATTGCTTTGTTTATAAAACACCATACTGTATATTTTCAAACGGTACATGCGAGTACTTCATGCATAATGCATTTCAATGTACATTTCAAAAGGAACAAATATTTCAGAAGTTGTTCTGAAAGTGATCTCAACATTGCTATTCTGCAATTTTGTCAGAATGAAAAGAATTAATATTTTAGAGCCTAAAGCAACATCTGTTATCCTGTTTAATTCATTATAAAGCTAAGCCAAGCCAGTCCTACTTTAGCTTGGGACAGGAAACACCGTGCAGAAGGTTAAGTACCAGCAGGAGGCAGCAGAACCTACTTTTAACAACTGCATGTGTGCAGCAATGACGAAAAAAAATACACTAATCACAATGCTATTTAATAATTTACAGCGCAAACCACATAAGGCAATTATTTTTAAATTATTTTTCCAAGCCTACAGCAGACTCTGTTGTTTTAAGCACTCGAGATTATTCATTCTCCAGCAATAACCTGATGACTGATGGCTGTGCTCGGCGTGTGCTGCGGTTGTGAGCCTTTCAACCCAGATGAAACGAGTGACTAGCAATGCCTGAGTGGCCTTTGGAAAGAAAGGGCTTGTTTGGAAAATGCAGGCTTTGCGGGATCTACTGCATGCAAATCTAAATCCTATTAAAATGGCAAAGATGAAGAATTCAGGACTTTCAAAAGTGTATTCAAAATCAGTTGAGAGGTAGTTAAAAGCAACAAATGTGTTCCAATACTCATTTGTTGGGTTTTTAATGCCTCTCAGAATACAAATGAATGTTGCTTCATGGTGAACATTAAGCCCTCTACGTAACTCCTAGATGTTTCAGCTGTGTGCGACAGCAATTTTCTTCCCATGTACACTTCCTGCATGACTGCTCCCCAGTCTTCTATAATTAATGGCAACGAAAGGCCTCTAGTAGCAGTAGAGAACCCAATGGTGTGGTGCTGGCATCCTCACAGGCAATCACACACACGCCAAGGTACAACGTCCAGTTCCCGAACGAACCAGTACCACATTCTTGCCTTATTTTCTCATTACACAGCAAATCTTAGCACACAGCAACAAAAAGGCAAAAAGAGTTCCACACGCATGCAATTCTGTCAGAACTAGGAATACACTGCATTTATCTCAGGAGCCTTAGGAACAGGGTAAATCTGGCTGGCAGGAGAAAGTCAACAATGAATGGACTGCATGCATAGGTTCTGAAACATGTCTGACATTTTTCTCAGCTCTGTGTCAATGTGATTTCTGTTTAGACTGTTTTTTCTGTGGGTTGAAAGCATCTCAGAGAAAGCCTTTGTTTTCTTTGACCATATTCACTGACAGTTGAGTCTAACACCCTCTGAGATCGCAGGAGCCTTGAAACAGGTGCTGTTATCATCAGCATTGGCACGGTGGACTGTGGACTGCCCAGCTTCTCTGTCACAGGGATAAGGATAAGGATGACCACAGTCAGAAAGAAAGGGTAAACCTTTGGGGAAGCAGTGCAGCGCAAGGAGAAATACTGTCCCTACAACAGTGCTACTGGCTTAAAACTCAACTTGTCTTCATCCAATTTCCACCTTTCCCCCTTATCCATCCATCTTCTAATCCAGCATCACGGGGGACCCAGAGACTAACCCAGCAAGCAATGGGCACAAGGCAGGATACACCCTGGACAGGACGCCAGCCCATCACAGAGCACACACACACACACACACACACACATGCACACGCACACGCACACACTCACACTCACACTCACACCAGGGCCATTTTCCCAGAAGCCAAATAACCCACCAGCATGTCTTTGGGCTGTAGGAGGAAACCCACACAAACATGGGGAGGACATCGGGGAGGACCAGAATCAAACCCAGGGCCTCAGTGCCGTGAGACAGCAAGACTCACCACTGTGCTACCATGCCAAACCTTTTCCCCCTTCTTGTCTCCCAAACTCACATTTTCCCCAGCACAATTGCTTGGTAATTCCCAGAGCAAATTCAAGGATTTCCTTTGGCTTTACTGAAGTTTCCCATTTCCAGGTACTCACTGTGTCTCACTACACTTTATTGTGCTTTTACCACCAACATTTCTAGGAGGGCATGCCTGGATGACAATTCTGCAGAGCCTGACTAGTGTGTAGGCGTGTCTATCTTGTAGATCCAAGGGACTGTCAGTTATCCTAAGAATGCATTTTTTTCCAGAAGGTGAACCCAATTCATTCCTCACTGAAAAACAAAAAGAACAGCATGCAAGCTATTTAATCTCTCTGATTTGTAACATATCTTATCTCATCTGTTTTGTGTGAGTGTCTATGTAGGTGACTCACTCATGGGTGAAACCGACTCCTCAGCACCTGAAAACAATATTCAATCTACCAAGCAGCAGTTCAACTCAATAAATAACAACCTAGGCTAAAAAAGTGAGTCCTTTTTTAATCTGATAGCATACACACAGGGGGATAACAGAGAGCTGCTAATTTCCCCAACCTGCATGTCTTTTGAATGTGGCTGAAAACTCACAAGACCAGAGAAAGAGCATGCAAACTCCACACACACAAGTACGTCAAGTTTGCACCAAGTCCACATCCCAAGAGTGTGAGGCAGCAGCACAAATGTGATTAACATGTTTGACTACTTTAAGATTTGAAAACATATTTTTCCATGCGCTCTATTAAAAAAAAGATCCTGAGCTTCCTTAATTCAAACATCATACATGTATGACACATTCTCTCTGCTAAAGCATGCTTGTTTCTGCCAAAGGACACTAAATCTGTGTTGAATATGTAGTACATATTAAGTGACAAACAAACAAACAGATCAGCATGCTGGCTTCATTAAGGTTGTCATTCAATGGGCATAGCAAAGCTACAGGGCTCTACCTATCTAATGATTGATTGCTGCCTGACTTCACAGCACTACATTGCTCAGGTCCTCTGCCCTCACTTAGAGCCCATCCTGCAGGCTCCTCCTGACATTCCAGTAGGGCAGTCCACACCCTCATGCTGCTTGAGTGACCACAGTCATCCTGCTGGATGAGAATACGACAGTCATGCCAAAGACGCCCTGCTCTCCAGACTGCAGTGCCACCGAACATTCGTGGGATGAGCTGAGACGATGAGCAGCCTCTAGGGCACAGAGACCGGTGAACAGCCACATTCTCACCCAGACTCCATAAGAGGAATGGGAGCAGATCCCACAGTACAGCATCAGCACCCTGGTGTAAAGCATGCATTGCAGGGGTACAGCTTGAGCTGCTTCCAGCAGAGGCCAGACACAATGCAGGCCTGCGGTCTTCACAGTACTGTAGATCCCTTACTGGTGACTAACGTCAATCAGCTTAATGACTTTCCAGTGTCACGTCTATTCAATGACATATCAGTGCTTTTTTTTTTTTACAAAAAAAGTTGAAAAACGTCATTTTTGTGATAACTTTGAATGTGCATGTGTGTTCAGTGATTATAATCTTTTTTCAGCATATGAAACAAGTAGAAATTGTCAACATACAATATATGTAATGGGGGAAAGACGAGCCACCAGCAACAGGGAGGACAGGATCAGTCACTGCTCCGTCAGTGCTGGCAGGAAACAAGGTGATGGCTTTTGTGCGAAGGGCTGGGGGGGAGTGGAGGTCATTGTGCGACCGGTTCTTCCACATGACAAACACGCCTGGCTGCGAGACTCCCCTGCTTCACCCCACCCCTAGAGGCTCTGTCGCCAGCTGGAGAGGATAAAAGGTGATCCACCAGGACGCTGCCTCCTCACAGGGTCAGCTCTGCTATCCTCCTGCAGCATCTCGCCCGGGCTCTCGCTCTCTCTCTCGCCTCCTCGAGTCGCCTCACAGCCCCAAGCCAAAATGAGCATCCGCAGCAAGACGATCAGCACCGTGAGGACCAGCACCGTGTCCGGGGGGGGCTTCAGCAGCCGGTCCACTGGCTACGGGGGGCTGTCCAGCAGCTACGGCCGGGAGGCCAGCTTCAGCGCCCCCATCACGGCGGTGACGGTCAACAAGAGCCTGCTGGCCCCCCTGCACCTGGAGATCGACCCCAACATCCAGGTGGTCCGCACCCAGGAGAAGGATCAGATCAAGACCCTCAACAACCGCTTCGCCTCCTTCATCGACAAGGTGGGTGTCGCCGGCTGCAGGAGGGGGGGCGAGCTGGCGATCACTTCTGGCTCCCCCTTATCCAGATCCTGCACAAACTGGGCAAATCAATGCTGTGGCTAAACACCCTGCAGTGAGTCTAAAGTTGTAGTTTTCTAACTTGTACGTTTTAAGTTGGGAGTTTCACGTATTTCCATTAAAATTAGTGCATTGCTTTCTCAGCATGCTACACTGTAGGATGCATTCTTTTGTTCTTAAGTAGTGTAATTCTTGTAAGTGTCAGCGATTTTAAATAACCAAGAAAAGAAAAGAAAACAGCAAAATATGGTCTGTGAAAAGTCCATCCTTGCTACCACTCTTACCTATTTTTTTCAAAAAATGAATAAAACTCAGGACATCTTATTCCACTGCATATGAAACTCAGGCTTTCCTCTGGTCATCCGTTCTGTGAAGGGCACTGGACACTGGAGAAATCATTCTGCAGTCGGCTTGTTGTAATCCGCTTGTACATGTGCCTTAACTATGGAAACTTACATTGAATGCAGGAGTTTAACAGAGATCTGGACAAGACAAGTACAACCTTGTCACATATGATAGATTTGTGAAATTGGATTAATTAAAACCAAAGGAAAAATGAGGAACAACATAGGAAAATTCACTTGCGATCAGGTTCATCAGCAACAGCACAGCATAACAAATAAAAACTGTGTATGCCGCATCTTGCAAATCCCTCTACCATTCATTAGCCTTCCAATTATAACTCAATTTTAAACTTCTGGGGATATTTTATAGCTGCTTTGTACTTACATTAGAAAAGCCGAAAATAAAAATAAAATTGTTCTCAGCTACAGTTCTTAGAGACCGACTAAACAATAGCACAGATTCACATTTCTGTGGTTCCCCAGGTCCTTACTAAATACATCTGGGGCATAACTTTATTCCCATCTGAAAGAAATGCAAGACAATGCTCTGGCCTGGAGCTGTGAGAGTATCGGATTAGATTACTGAAACCAAGCTCATACACCCTCACCTATGTCTGATTCTTGGCAAGGGATTTCATGCTAACGATCTTATCAACAGTAAACAACTTTACATTGTTAACATACCACACCCCTTATCTCAGCTGCAGGGACCAAAATATAAGAAGCCAAGTACAATTTGATTATACAAAATGTCAAACTTTGTTATAACTTTGTTGTCTATGACTTCAGCAGTAGGATGGATGAACATGAATGAGTCCCATTCAGATGCTATAATGCATCCTTTGCAAGATCTCAAAATCATTTCTCTCTTTCACAAAATGATTCTACAGAATCAGGTGCTCCGCTATGAGAAATGATCCAAACGTCCTTGTTAGTGCTGGCATGTGGCTTATTTCAATCACCACACTCTGAAATGCATGTTTAAAAATCCAAAGCCTTTAAGGTAAAGGTGATATCGGTAGAGATCCTGTGAGCAAAGATCACAGGCTGGTGAGGTGGGGCAAGGCTGGGGTTTTGCAATGACAGCTCAGGGAACACGACAGACCAGTTTTGCAGGCCGCCCTTATGGTACCACTGCTCACAATGGCAGCTTTCAGAAGGTGAAAGTCCGTGGTAGCTGCAGGAGGAGTTAGTAACTGTACATGTTTTTGGGATTCCTAACACGAAAACAGTACCACAGAGCAAACTGTCAACAAGGCTGTCGGGTTCAAGATTTTAAAGATGTCTTCCATTGACGATACATCATTGATGAGGCCAACTTGCAGCAGTCTAGCACACGCTGAAATTCTCCACTTCGAGCTCTGTTCTCAGTATTTGACAACACATCGGTAAGATCAGGCATGAGCTCTTGTCCCACCACATCAGTATGGATGTTACAGATAAGCTGAGAAGTTTTAGGATAGGACAAAGCATTAGGGAGCCATGATAGCTCAGACAGCAAGGGCATCTAGCTCCTGATTGGAAGTCCTGGGTTCAATCCCAGGGAGGGGCAAGCGATGTGGCTTGCTCTGATTTCTTCCAGATGTCTCCCAGGTCCACTCAGCCTGCTTTCCAAATGAGTATCGGGAGTTAATCCTTCTTGGGGTAATAGGCCAGCTGGAGCATGATGCTGACCACATCACCTCCCCTTCCAGTGTCGGATGGTTGAGAAAAAATGGTGGCCCTTGCCCCTCATTCCCCCATGGGCCTGGTTCTCACATCACCTCTGCTTTTCCTTATCTCCCCCACCCTTCGCCACCACCACAAAATAAAAACACAGGTGCGTTTCCTGGAGCAGCAGAATAAGATGCTGGAGACCAAGTGGGGCCTCCTGCAAGGCCAGACCACTGGCAAGTCCCAGATCGAGCCCATGTTTGAGCAGTACATCTCCAGCCTGCGCCGCCAGCTGGACCTCATCAACAATGACCGGAACAAGCTGGACGGAGAGCTGAGGAACATGCAGGGACTGGTTGAGGACTTCAAGCACAAGTGAGTCTCAAAGCCTGGGAGCACAACCAAGCTCTGCGGTGCACTGGTCTGTGCAGGAGGGCAGAGCTCTGCAGTTCTGGTCCCATGAAGCCACAAAGCCTGCAGGTTTTCATGATGGCTATGCCTTGCCTGTCTGGAATGTTTTCGAAAATGTTGTATAGTATTGTTTCTGAAACATTTCCAGTGAAAAGTCTCTGAGCACAGACTATATGTATAGTAGCATTAAGAGAAAATGCACGACTGTGGCAGGGTTTAAAGCCCTGTATTGGTTTATTTGTATCCTGGGAGATTGGCATTTAGCAACAATGAATGAGCTTAGTAAGACTGCTGATGAAATCCCTTCTTCCACCTGTTTCCTTTCAGATATGAAGATGAAATCAACAGGCGCAACGGCCTAGAAAATGATTTTGTTGTGCTGAAGAAGGTAAGATGTCTCAAAACACAGAGACACTGCATTTCACACTGCTTCAATGCATAAAACTGCACACTATTCGTGTTTTTCTCTAGCCTTGACCGTTGTAGAAAAAATGAAAACGTGAATGGAATTATGTGACAGAGTTTTGAAACCTTCCCATCAACCAAAAAAATGCCTTCAAGTAGAAAGCGTTCTTGAGCGTATTGTATTACTATGGCAACAAAACAGGGCTGTTCACTTCATGGCCCCAAAACAGGTCATCCTAGCTACACTGAGACTCCTTTTAAAAGAAAGAAAAAAAGTGAAGGAGAGCTTTAACAATAGGGTCTGGTTAAAATTCCAGCCAAAGCCAGATTTCTGGTCTATCCACTTCCCAAGACAAGATCTGCAGAATCAGCCTGCTTGAATATCCATTGGCAGAGAAGAAGAACGACTCCCACCCTGTTAATAAGAGATCTTGTTTCCTCTGCACCTCATATTCCCGGGCTGGTGTGTCATTTACACTGGTTAGGGATAGTGTTACCCATAGGGAGGCCCTGGGCGTTGCATTGAGCTCTTGTAAATCTGCTTTTGTGCTTTAGGATGTCGATGCTGCCTACCTGGTAAAGGCTGATCTGGAGGACAAAGTGGCTAACCTCACTGATGAGATCAACTTCCTGAGGATCATCTATGAAGAGGTAACAATTTGCCAAACAATTAGCCTGTCTACCTTTTGAAAACTGTGCTGTTTTCAAAAAAGGTTTCCATGCACACAAACAGCATCAGAGACCCACACATGTAGACACCCTATTGTTGCATTGTTTTTTAACGTTTTGCATGCAGCTAGAGGGGTCTAACAGTAGGCTGTGCTAGGCAGTTCCAAACTTCTGCAAACAAGTCTGCTTCATATCATGTCGTCCTTAATGGAGGTTTATATCACATCATTGTGTCCTGTTGTACATGGTTTGATTCACAAAAAAAAACAAGCATCTCTGAAGGTCTAGTCTATTTTTGATTTGGTGCAAAGCTGAAGAGCTGGTTCAAAGGCTTTTATAGCAATTCTTTCCAAAACTCCATACACAGCACAATGTTTTGTTGCAATAACAGCCTTCGGTTTTGTTCCGGGTGCACAGGAGCTACGTGAGCTTCAAGCCAGCATCAAGGACACTTCAGTCATCGTGCAGATGGACAACACCCGCAACCTCAACATGGACCAGATCGTGGCCGAAGTTAAGGCCCAGTATGAGGAAATTGCTGCCAAGAGTCGTGAGGAGGCTGAATCCTGGTACAAGACCAAGGTGAGGAAAATGATTATCCGGTGACCTTGAATGGAGAAAGATCTTTTGACTTTAAGCCTTAAGTCAGAACTAAGTCTTGTTTTAGTGTCCTGTTTCTGGAACAACTACCAAAGTAATCTATCGCAAACCTATCGAAGAAAACATCACAGGTGTTCCACCATCCCGGAAGTCAGACTGAATTCAATCTGCTCTTTCTTGTCTTGTCGGTAGTTTGACCAGATGTCTGCCCAGGCTGGCCATTACGGAGATGAACTGCGCAACACCAAGGCCGAGATCGCCGAGCTGAACCGTATGATCAGCAGGCTGCAGAACGAGATCGAAGCTGTCAAGGCGCAGGTTGGTGTGAGGGCGTGAGAAGGGGAAAGTGAAGAAGACCTCAGGCACAGTTCCTGCTCTGGGGCAACATCACATTATTTGTTAATTAAACGGATCATTGCAGCAGTGTAGCCTGTATCTCAACCAAGTGACAGTATTACAGAATTGACTTTCATTGAGTAGACACTTAAACGTCTCACACGGACACACTTTAAACTGTTTGTTCAAGAGATATCACAATATGTTGCGTTTTCAACTTCTCCCCTCCTGTGTACCAGCGTGCCAGCCTGGAGGTACAAATTACAGAGGCCGAGGAGCGTGGTGATCTGGCAGTGCGTGATGCCAAGGCCAGGGTCAAGGACCTGGAAGAAGCCCTGCAGAGAGCCAAGCAGGACATGGCCCGCCAGGTCCGCGAGTACCAGGACCTCATGAATGTCAAGCTGGCCCTGGACATCGAGATCGCCACCTACAGGAAACTGCTGGAAGGAGAGGAGAGCAGGTGAGTCCATCAGGGGAGTCCCTGTGTCTGGGAATCACTCTTGAACAGATTAAAAGTGAAAGATGAGCAAATGATCTTGTATTTGGACTTTTTGAAGCTCTGGAAATGTATTAATCTTAGTTCAGGCAAACAGCATTTACATTTCACAGTTAGGGGCAAGGATGCAATGCTTTGGAAATACCTTTCCGCTATATTGGAGAAGATTACAGTACAAACCAAAAACATTTTCTGAAGTGCCTGAAACAATGATATGTCCATTCTCTTTTTCAGACTTTCCCAACAGTCTGTGATCAACATTCACTCTGTCCCCAGCCTCAGTAAGTACCCAGCAAAACGAAAATGAGAAAAGCACTGTTAAAAACTACCTTATTTGGAACAGAAGCGTTAGAAAACAGTTCTGCCGTTTAAAAACTGGTGTGGGTAGCATTTTCCCAAGATGGAAATAAGGATGGAATTATTGTAATGCATCGCAATAGATACCTTTAAAAATGTCTAAGCAGTACAAAAGTTTATCTTTTGGCATTATTTCAAGATCTGAAAGGATTGAAAATGCGATAGGACCGGCTTCCAGACTTGAAACTGAATTCACATCACTCTTGTACTAGAGCCTCTACACTGGTTTCTTCTGTGGCTAAGGACTCACATTAATGTTCTGCTTCAGACACGTAAATAACCAGGGACCCTAACATCTATACCAGGTCCAATATATCACCAGCTTTCTGTTCAGACCAGTAAATGCAGGGTTGCTTGTAATCCTAAGGACTGAGAAAATAAATGAGGAGAGTAAAGCTTTGAGCTACAGGACACCCAAGGTGCAGAATGAGCTGCCTAAAATTGTAAGGGAGGCGCTGTCTACGTTACAACAACTGAAACATGATGACATGATTTAGCTTTCGGCTCTTGAGATATTTGTTTAATGTAATGTTACCCTTCCTTTTTATTTCTGCTTGTACACAATGTCTCTTTGAACTTTGACAGTATTTCTACTGACTGACGGATTTCATGCTTTTCATCTCACAGACTCTTCCAGGACAATGAATGGATACCAGCAGAGCAGCTCCAGCTCCAAGGTGCTCATCAAGATGACGGAGACCCGAGACAACACCAGATTCAGCTCCCGTTAGAATGGACCGGAACTACAAGCCGAGCAAACTGGATTCAGCACTTCACTTTCAGCTTAGGCCTAGCAAGTGAAACCAGTCTCCTGGGTTTCCGAGCTCTTTGATTGCTTATGGTTTAAAATTAACTGCTCTTCACTATTGATCACCCTTTCTTGCTCTCTCCTACCTTGCAGTCCAGCTTGCACTGTGTATTCCCAGACAGGAAACCTGCCTGTCACATGTCTTTTTTACACGAATGAGAGGGATCGAATACTGCCAACGTAAAAAACAAACAAACAGATAAAGCAATGTAAAAGAAATCATACTTGTAAAAGAAAGAAATATGTAGATGCACTGAAAAAGATTAAAAGGTCTTTAAGAAATCTTGGCCTTGACTGATTCTTCCAAGAAAAATGTTTAGACAAGTCAAGATATTGACAATTACTTTCAAAGCAAGTGTGCCCGGCTTCTTTTCTTTTTTGTTGAGCCAAATTCTCCTTTATTCTGTCCATTTTCAGATCAGTTTAAGATCTTCTTTATGCTTCTGCAAAAGGTGTTGCAGGGTATGGAGTTGTGGGGGGGTAAATGAACAGATCTGGCCCCTTTGGCTTCAGAGATTCAGTCGGGCTTTAGCACATTGAGTCTCATACAGTAGTTCAGCTCCTCAGTGGCCCAAGCACATGAGCAGCCACATCATTTGAAAGACCACAACAGCACGACGTACATGACATCAGCCAAAGCAGCCACGAGCTCAGATCTAAAATAAAATATTTTTACTTCTTCTCTAAAATTTCTAGACCAGAATTAAAGAAGCAGATACCAATCTATGATAAACAATTAAAATAGAGTAGAAGAAATAACCAAAACCACATTGGCCCAAGTATTGTTTGCAAAAGGTTTAATTTTGGGGTTAGTTTCAATTGTCCTTTCCAACAGCACGTTTGTTCTGCTGAAGGATATACAAATACCCTTTAAGGGAACTAAAGACCAAAGCATTTTAAAAAATAAAAGTCTTTTAAGGTGAATAGCAAATTTGTGCTCAACAGTAGTCAGTAATTTAAGAGTAAAACTACAGTTGTAGAAAGTATTATATTCACAGTACATCTAGCAGGTCTGATTAACTCTGAGGTTCTTGGACAGAAATGTTTTACAGAAATAAACAGTCTAACCAGGCGGCAAACAGGAGGTAATACTGCTTAAGGCACAGTTTCACATAAGCACCTCCATAAACTCTCTTCTAATTCAGTAGAAGGCTAGCTGGTTGAAGCTAAAAAAAAAGTGAAAAAAACTGTAGGCTTACAAGGGAAGAACAAATACATTGTGGAAATGACTGAAGTGCGCAGAGAATGTTAATGTTGGGCCAATGAACTATAACCTCTCTTAACCAGATGCCTGTGAAGGGTTTGTCTGTATCTGTCAGGAAAATTATAGGTACCTTGAGTGATTACAAACAAACACGATTTCATAACATCCGTTGACTTGGGTGTGCTTCTTCTTGCTACCAGATGCGTGCAGAATGAGTCCAATAGTTTGTTTTGCAAGTTCCTATATTTCTCTTAGGTGCACATAATCACATCAGCTTTTAAAAGTGTGTGAGATCCGCAAGTTCCACTATTAATATATGAGCTTGCCTATACAGTTCATGTGTTTCTGTTGTTGTCCTTAATTTGTTTTACAAAAAATGCTGAACTGCTGATCACAAAAAACAGATCCACCATTATGTATGAGTCTCGAGTCCACAGGCTGAAGAAAGATGCAAGCTCACCAGTCTTCTGAGCATCTGAGAAGACACAAGTGCTTGGACATGCAATCACACAGAATTCCTTATGAGTGCATTTGAACTTAGAGGCAGATAACCAATGAGCCTGCTTTGTTTTTGGTGCCAAAATCAAAGAAAGAAAAACAAACTTAATATAGAAGGAAAGACTGTAGACCACTGCTGTTACTCCAAGTCCATTCCAGGCCCCTTCTCCTGCATTGCTTTGCTCCTAAGTTATCTTTTTCCGATTTCTCTTCTCTTGCCAATTTCTTAGGTTGACCAGAAAACATTAATAGATGCTAAAAATAAAAAAGTCAAAAATCAAAGCATTGTGTGCTTGTTTAATTTCTGGCTCTTCTACAGTTGCTACTTGACGATGACTGCATGCATTTGTACTGCCCTACACTATTTCCAGCCCAGGTTGTTATTATGTGTGAAATTCATGTACATTTGTAATGGACTTCGACATTTAACCTGCAATATTTCTTAAATACTGCAGTCCAGTAGGTTTTCTAGCACTCTTTTAATCAAAGAACTCTAATCCTGATCCTGGAGAGCTGGTGTGTATCTACATTTTCCAGATCTCTTTAAAGAAGCAGTGCCTGAAGAGCTGGGAGAAGCTGTCATACTGGTCTGATTGAGACCCCAGCTGGGCTAGAAACCAGTAGACAGACTTTCTCCTGCATGAGGAGTGGGGCTTTAAGTCACTGACCACTTAAAAACAGAGAATATTTCATTACACTGATTCTGACCTTCTATGCATGACCCTCAATCCAGGAGATTTAAGGAGGGTTTAAGAGACTCTGCTGTCCTTTAGTCTCTCAACTACTGTTTGACAGAGTGGGAAGGGATTGAAATGTAAATGGTAATGGAGTTAAACGAAGGGTGAAATTTCAGTAATAGCGTCAGAGCATTAGTTTTAGCCATAATATTAAAATAAGAGCATAATGCTTTTGTTGCCTTGGGCAAAACAGGCAGTAGAAGCAATCTCCGTTGCTATCATTATTTAAATGTTTTGTCAAGATTTTTAGGTGTTCTCTGGGAATAAAAGTGTGTGAGGCTTGCATCACTTCACACGAGCAACAGTGGAATACAAAATCCTGTTGGCTTGCATTCCTTTTATAACCCACACACCACTGAGAGACATCCAGCATCTTCACAGACCACATTCAACTCGAAACCACAACAACGCATTCGCAGCCAGTGGAATCAGAGGCCTTGCGAAGCCTTTGCAGCTAAGAACAACAGTGCTGAATGTTAGATAGATAAGACTTTATTGATCCCGAAGGGAAATTGATGTGTTACAGCAGCAAAAAAAAAAAACAGACATCAGGATAAACGAACAATTAGAATACGTGCAGTAATACAAAATAAATAAATAAAATAAAAATAAATGTTTGCACTGTACAAGACTAAGGACGTCATTTAAGACGGGGTGTCTAGTCTAACCTTGGTCCAGGCAGGGGCGGTGTCCGCAAGATCTCAAGATCGCTTGAAAGCAGCAGGACCTGAAGAGCTGGAAGATGCTGTTAAATTGGTGCAATTAAGCCTGTTATCAGCTGGTCTTTCCCATTAAGAGCTGGGTCACAATGGAAAGTCCAGAAATACCAGCCCTCTAGGATCACGGTAGGATGGCCCTGACGTGAGTTTAACAGCAACATTAATTCAGACATCTCTGGATGACTGGTTTGGGGAAAGTATAAAGCATGATCCCCTACTGGCCAAATAAGGATTTGCAGTTTACCAGACAAGTAAACCAGTGCTTCTACAAAAAGATAAATAACAATCATTTAAAACACAGAAACATGATAATCATCCTCGCTGTGGGACTTTGAGAGACTTAAATGATGAGACTCACCTAAAATATCTGCAGTTCAAAGCATCTGCTTTTCTTTGACTCCACATGAGAATGTCATGACAATATGTTTAGGAAGAAATATCTCCTTTACCTGTTCTTTTCCGTCACACAGGTACCCAGAAAAAGATAACGGGCATGCTCCATTTTCTGTTAAGGGAAACGTCATGTTGTGAGGGTGTGTAATGGAGAAAAAAAATATGGCTGATAAAGTTCCACAAAAATTATATTTCCATAAACTTCTAAGGGTGATGACTTTGTATGTCACTCATCAATAAAGACAGTATTTTTCTTATGGCTTTACTGTATGTCTGAGACGCTTAGAGTGAGACAAGTCTAGCTGTCTTGCTGTGGTTACAACCAACCATGGTAATTTCTCCCCATCAACAATGTTTTATGATTAATGGAGAAAAACCATTTCCAACAGCCACTTCAAACCCACAGAGCTCACAACAGCTAAATGCAGAACCAAGATGGGAACCAGCAGCCTCAGCCTGACTTGGGACAACAAAAGGAAAACCCATCAGTTCTTACTGTAAGACTTATCTCATCAGACCTCTGACACAAATGCAGCTAGAATTCCTAGTTAAACAGCAAAAAATATCTAACTTCAGGTTCTTTCTTTCCCTTAAACACGTCTTGCCCCAGTTGTAATTCCAACACTAATGTTTTGAAACAAGAGGCTCGCTTAGCTCTGGAGCAAGAAAGTTCTGAAACCTATCCTGTAAGTGAAGAACATTTGCAAAAACAAGAATCAGGTCTTTGCAGAGTGCAATGGAAATGCTCATACCCTAGAGCAAGTGTGCCGATTGACATGACACTTCACAGCGAGTACAAGTGTTAATTTAGATGCTCGACATGCGTGACTCACTGGCAGTTCAGCAGGTCTATTTGTGCTGCTTAATGTGACAGACATAGGGTTATGACACGATTTTCCAGGGAACTCTACAAAGGAACTAGACCCATACAATTTTGCAATTCTATTGCATGCTCCACACCCAAAATAGCCTGAAGGCACTGAAGTCTCTTATCAGGAAAGTGGTTACTATGTGCATGGGTGTGGCATTGTGTGTGCCTCCCTAGTTTTTGCAGAGTTAAACAAAACATATAATGTACAAAAGTCAGTTCCCCTCCCCCATCACATGGTAACACACCAGCAATGCCACACTTGCACTGGTTTCAACTGTCCAGTGATTTTGATGAGAACAGACTGTGCACTGCAAGACATAAGAGCTGGAGTGCACTGTAGGATCATTTCATTGTGGTCCTGTCCTAGTGCTACTAGCAAGCAGGAACCTGTTATAAGGTCCTTCTGCTCTTCTGCCCCGTGTACAAAGACCTGTTCTCGTGTGCAGTCAAACCTCTGAACCAAAAAGGGAGGCCATCAGAACAGCCATTTCTATAGGATCTACAGGCTGGCTCCCTCCATCTCAGCTAATGGAGGTGTAATGATCTGATAAGTGGGAGGGTGAGAGGCCAACGAACACAAACCAGAGTGATACCAAGCGAGGATCTGATAAGAACCTGCACTGGAAGCACCATTTCTTGTAAAACCAATAATAACATAAAAAACATTCTTTTTTTGCAACCTGCAGGGCTCAGTTGTACACAGGACCCAGTCTCTGCACTGGGACTGGAAGACAGTCTTACAGACAGGCATTTATAGGCACCCAAGAGGTTAAAGGGCAAACTGAGGATCATCAAGGTGTGCACACTCCAAGTCTCATTGCCTGTGCTGCATGATTGTCCTGCTCTATTTCACACTCAG